ATTTTGGGTATCTAATTTACGATTTCTTATCTTTTCTCTTTGCCCTTCTTAGCTTATGGAAAAAAATGCTTTTTACTGCACATTTTTTCACCGTTGACTATCCGCAAAACGTTTGTGCGTAGGTTAGGAACATCATTTTATCTGGAATGATCGCTGCGGCGAAATAGTAACTTCAGTGTTTGCGCAGAATGACTGTACAGATCGGAGGAAAGTTCTGCTGCCGGTCTTTTTGAGAATGACGTGAGATTTTTATCAGATAGTTGGGTTTTCAGTCACTTGTTACGCCGCAGAGTTACTTGGCTCCTATGATATTCTTATAAACTTAAAGAAAGCGGCAAACTAACAGAGTTTTGCCGTACAATAATATACTTATTGTATTTCATCAATTATATCTTCTCTGCAGCTTTTGCATCATAATCAAACGAGCTATGGATAAATTTCAAAATGATAAGCTGAAAAAACATCGCGGACAGTTTGCTATAACAAGCTACAGCTGCGACGGTAATCTACACTAACTTAGCTCCCATGCTGCTTTTGAATTAGGGAAACATATATAACTCTGCTTCTAATAGCGTGGGAAGTTTTTTATGAAAGTGTCATTTTCTTTCAGAATACCCAAAATAGATTACGTGCAGAAAAAATGTCTGTTTTCCCAACTGCAGCTTAGCCTTTTTTTTGCTTTTTAAGGTCATGATCAGTTGTCAGCGTAATTAACCTATACACGAAGTTCAGCTATATGAATAAGTCTTGAGTTTACTTTGTCAACATTCAATGGTTACACATCTCTTGTTGCATTAGTGAAAACAAAACAATGCAAAACGAAATAGGAGCGTGGTTTACAATAAGTTCATTTCTTCCCCAAAACCCTTCAATTTTTTGCCATCAGAAAATACATTTTTTCACAAACATAAACGAAACCAAATTATTTTTTGTCTTGTAAAATTTATTTTGATAAAAGTATTTGCCCGAGGTTTCACTAAAGTCCAGACTTTTCTCAAAGATAAATTAATGTGTTGCGTGTCCTAATCGCATCATTGATCCAAGCAGTTGAATATTTCAACAGGAATTTGTCACGTCCTCAAATTTGATGAATTGTTTTTCACAGTTCAATGAAACAGCCATATAATATTGATCTTCTCGAGTATTTGTTTCCGCCCTGATCTATCGTTTCTTTTTCGAGAGACCAATTTTCATTGCTTTTTAATTCGGTTTTTAAACAAGAGAAAGTGTTAATCTGTTTGTTTATGTATTATCCAATATATTCTTTCGGTGGTTCATCAATTACATTGACGCATAAAAACCAAACAATATGTTGACTGGTTCATGATAATAATAAGTAACTAATTTAGGTTCCAAGACTTGTAGTATGTTGTCGATAGAAAATTCTGGGTTGTTAACATGGTGCCATGTCTACCACGTTCGCTTATAAATTAACTCTCTTGATGAAAGTATTTTCCCATTTGCGTTGCCATTTATAATTTAGTAGGTAGAGCAGAGGAAACCATAGATTAGACGTTTGGATTTCGGTCGGGATAGTTTTGAGCTAAACTTGAAACGGATCTCTTTTGTGTTTTAATCTGAAATTATTTGCGAAAATGTTTCACTTAAATTTACCCAAATTTAGTTCACTTAAAACTTTTAGTTTATTCTGAACGTTGTTTTCTTTCAAATGTGTTTATGGAAACGAGACTGTCGGCCTGTTACTTAACTCAGTCTTCGCTCTGTTGCATCCTCGCAAAATACTCAGGTTATCGGATAGACTAAGGCCAAATCTATGGCAAGCAGTGATATTTCTGCGACTGAGGTATTTCCGAGAATGTGCGATGGGCAGAATGCCACTTATCCAGGATTGTCTCAAACTCGGCACAATTGGTGGCCATGCACAAGAAATTTGCAAAATACAATAAGCATTTGGACTACCAGTAGTGAAAAAGAAAGAACCTAAAACGAAAAGAATATCGGCAAAATACGATGTGTATATATTTTAGGGATTTCTAATTGCCTGATCTTGTAAAATGATAGAAGGGAACTGCACTACTTCGTTATCATGTACTCTTTCTTGGCTCTGTAAACCCATACGAATCAAATTTTGTGTCATTCATTCATAAATAACGCATCTTGTACAATTCAATGTTTCCCCTTAGGGAGGGTGGGTGGGGGGGGGTGTCATTAGTTCGACTACGAGGGAATTACCATTTTTTCTTCCAGAAGAGCTCTTGTTTATGACATAAGCTTCTTCTATCTGCAGTCAGCGAACAAGTCTCAACATAAGTTGTTTCTACTTTACAGAGTGCACCACATGTTATTGCTGTTTTAATATACCGCTGATTGTCGACAGCTTTGTTAACGAGCTTAAGTCTGAGGGAACTGTTGAGTTGATTATTCATAAGGATGAAATTTGACTACGTAGCTCTGTTTTTTCAAGATTAAGACAAGGTAACAGAAACACAATTTGAATTGTATCGCAGATGGTTTTATTTTCCACAAATGTTTTTTCTTTTATCTTATGTCTAAGTGAAGTGGAAATTATTTGGACAATTCGACCCCCCTGAGAGTTGAGGAAGAAATTAATTAAGTGGTTGATTAAAAGAGGAAATGAGATTTGGAATAAATTCTCTTTTCTTTCAACTCGGGCTCCTTCGATATGAATTAAATCTACTGTAACTGAGATTTCATTGAAAAAATCACGGCAAACTCTCTTGTAATCGATATAAGCAAATTTTCAACGACATGAAAGTAGATCTTTGCTATACAGAGAGCTAAACTTTACTTAACAACAAGCCACCATGTGTGAACAACAAAGCTAGATCATCATTCCACATGAGACATTCATTCTGACTCTGTGTCAATTGTTGGATACATAGATAGAGTCGAATGAGACAAAATAACATTATCTATGAGACGATTGGTAAGAAATACTCAAACATTATGAGACATGGAAAAAGAAAAACACCATGGAACCATTTTTAATAGGAGAAACAGTAGTCAAAATACTTGTTACAAAGTGACACCCATGAGTTCGTTAGCAGCTCCAAAACTCATTACTCAAAACTTGCAGATAGCGGAGACATTGATCCTAAAACTATGAATGAAATCCCTTGTTAGGGAACTGTATGGGCGCAAAACACACTGTGAACGTAATTGAAAGCAGAGTCATAATAATTTGCCGGCCAGTAGAGAAGTTACACTAAAACAGTGCAATTGATTTTAATGTTTACATTTGTTTCTCTCGTGGAAAGAGCTTGCAGCACAAGGCTTGTCTTATCGCGTGTTGTGATGCAATAAAACCCAGACACTCTAGAAGTTATCACTGAAAATTTTTACCTAGTGTGAAATTTTACGTTCCCTAATTCTGTGTCGATTTTCAATTCATATGTACAGAATATTTAAGTAAAGATAGAAATGTATGACTTTGAAAATGCAAAGTAGTCAAAGCTGGCTATGATTAAAATTAAATTTGGTCACGTATGCTTTAGGAAATTTCCGTACCTTAACGTGACTATGTGAGTTGAGTCACTTTCCAAGAGTTACCGACTTAACAAAAATTGGTTTCTGAAGAAACTGTACTCTTTTTTTTTCTCTGGATTCTAATTTTTAAAACCTTGAGGAAGAGATTGGGGTATTTTATTTAAGTGCCCTTCATCAAGCACTGTCATAAAAGTCTAAATCAAATCGATCGGTTGGATTCGTGTTTTGTCCGTCACAGACCCCACAGCGAAATGTTATTGGGAATTTTTGAGGTAGTTGACTCGTACTCGCATTTCAGATCTTCTGCCTGATTCTCCATGTATTTCATTGAATAAACTTTTATCGACATATGAACAATTTTGTAATATTTTTTGGGTCAGCTACAAAAATTCCCGGTCACTTTCGAAATCCAGTGATGACACAAAGGTAACTTTATTAATTAATCAAATTTTAATTTCCTTTTCAAGTTTCATTTGTACCGACTTGTGGGCCTATGACATGAACTAAGTAACTGTGAGAAACATTGTGTTTTACTTAATGGTGATCATCTATACCACAAATTCTAAAATACCTTCTAGAATCGTCCGGGAACCACCCGCCATTGACTATGCAATTGTGAAGACTTTTGATGTTGGCATTGACAGAAAAACCGTCGTAAAATATTTATTTCTCCCCTAGCTTGCTTTAGTTGGTAATTTTTTCTTCTGTCTCGCGCACAGTCCTCCTCAATCAAGCTGGTGACATCTTATTCCTTTTTTTCGTTTTAAAACAGCAGCCGTTTCTGTTGAGATTTTTTTGAGCGGATTGTTTGCGTTACTCTTTGTGGCTCTCCATCTCTTTGTTTTGTGTATTCTATCAGCTCAAACCACTGGCCCTAGGACACAAAAACATCTACAGTATGTTGAGCGGACGAAAACAATTTACATTGCATTTAAGTGCAGTAATTACTAATAGAAAGTTGTGCAAATTACTTTTTCAAAACTGTCGAAATGAAGATAAATTTGAGAATTGTGGCAGCTTTATTCATCTCTTAGGTATTCCTGTCTGTCATCATTAATTCATAAATGCTTACAAAACAGTTTAGTTGTTTAGTCGAACTCTCTTCTGCTGCGGTATGTGGTTGGGTGATATGTTTTGTCGATGCCTTGTTTTTTTTGTCTTGAAAACATTATCTTTCTTCATTTCAAAATATGCTTTAGGCGCTAAAACTTGGCGTTATTCCTTTAGTTGCAAAGTCCAACGTATGAGTACAGGTTGTCTAAATCACACGTGTTCATTGGAAGTCGTAATGAAGGCAGATGTTTTTAACAAATAGGTCAGCGGAATGTACTCTCTGAAACGAAGTGCACGCAATACTCAGAAAATAACACACACTGAAGTTCTTATTTAGTGCGTGGGGCGGGAAACCATGCAGTCGACAGTATGCAAAAGTTGTCGAATTGCACCATATCTTGGTTATTTCAATACCAGAATCTCCTCATGTTGCTTTGTATACTGTTTGGAAGCGTAATTCTAAATATTTGCTCTGCAGTATGAGATATCTCTTGGCAGCAGTTACTTTACTCTCGGTTTTTATGGAAAATGGGCTACAGGAGCTTGTTGAAGTCAGTTCCTCATTGGCAAATATAACAGGTTCTTATCCAGCACTTAGACACACAATTTCAATTACTTTTTAGCCCATTAAATAAAATTTGGAGATTTGAACCTGACCGCCTCTCCTCTTTTGCTGCAGCTAATTGCCGTAAACCACTTGGGATGGTGAGTGGAGCGATAAAGAACGAACAGATCACAGCATCATCAGTTTATAACGAAGAATTCTCAAAATTTGGAGCACATCGGGCTCGACTCAATTTAACGAGAGGTTACAGAGCCGACCGAAAACAAAGCGGCGGTTGGATTAAAGTGGAGTTAGAGAAGCAAATGGTGATAACTGGAATTGCTACTCAAGGATACGGCGATCCTCGAGTTCCCGAATGGACCGAACAGTACATGGTCATGTATTCAAACGGCGGAGATTATCTGTACTTTCAAAACCTGGAAGGTGACTTAAAAGTAAGTCGTTAGCGGCGACGAAATGCTGCTGTTAGTCCGATTACCAATCGTTTTGAAATTCACATCAATCCTCTGTGAAGGTTCGGTCAGATTTCTTCCAAAGCCAGATGTAGCATTTGTTTTGGATTTTAGTTAAAAGGGATTATCTAGAAATTAAATGCATCGTTACACAAGTTTATTAAGTCATATGAAAGTTGCTGATTCCGGTTTATCAGTGGGAGAGTTCCAATTACGATATGTGCCTTACATATTCGTCTGCTCTCAAAACGATGATGCGAATTGAGCTATGAAATTAATAAGGTCACCCCTACATTTTGAGCCATTCTGTTGCTTGAGGAGGTTAGCTAGCATGAAATTAACCATAATTCTGTCGACGATAAAATGATATTAGCTCGGTAGGAGTTGTAGGTGCCGCGAAAAACGTTTTTCTCTATAAACTTAAACACTAACAAAATTCCCTCATCGTATTTAGTGAACTCTGTAAACCGTAACTAGGTGTTAGGAGCTTTAGGGTTAAAAACTATCTCGGTTTCTCATTGTAGCATAAAAGAAGTTCTTGCCGCCACCACAACGAATTTAATAATTAAACACCTTTTTTTTACAAGAAGCGCATGCCTAAGCCCTCTTTCCAATCCGTTTGCTGAATACAAAAAGACTATTATGCTAAATTTAATCAAATAAAAAATTGTTATCAGCTTTTCTGAAGTTATTGAGGAGAAGAATCCGCCCGCTTTTGTGAGCATAATAATATTTGTAAAAGAGTTACGCTGTGAGTGGAAATAGACATATGAATTTTGTATTGTATCGTCTGACATGTGGCTGCTATCTTATTAAATTCACTTCAAATTGATTAAATTTCATATCATTTCGATTGAAAGAAAATCGCAGATGATGATAAGTGTTACTTTGGAAGAAAAAGAGCTTTAAATACTAATATCTGACCGGTCTAGCTAAGCGATGTTCAAAAAATGTACGGAAGTTAGTCATAAAATTGATAAATTAATAAAGAGGTCTGTTTGCGTTGCGGCACAGTACAAAGTTGCATTGATATTAATATCTGAAAAAATAGGAAACCATGTATCGTTTGTGTTTTTTTGCGATTGTCTGAAAAACAAGATTACTATAGATTTTGGGGGAGATTTAACCATTACGAACAGTGGTATACATTTATGTTTTAGAGGTTATCCATCGTTATCATACTTAACGAAATAACGTTAACTGGTGTTTAGCCAATTCAACTAAGATAAATTTGTTGTAAATTTACATGTACATCTTTTCGCCTATGAGTTTGGCAGGAATTGATTTCTCATTTGAAAAGAAAATCATCGTAGTTTCTATCCAATGTCTGGATTAAGCAATTTCCGTTCTTGATTAGATACCTAATTTTATTTCCCTATGTCACCGTCTGATTGACATGCATTTACTGGGGTCAATACATATTATACCATGTTTTTTAAATTTTATTCCTTTTTTGTGGTCAGTACATGTAGATTATATTTGTTGTATAATTGTTATTACATTGTCTTCGGAAAGCATAGCGAGCTTAATTACTATTTAGTGACAATTACTTGCCACATGAATGTTGGTTGGAAATATGACCAACTGAACGTCAACGAGAGTATATATTTCTGAAATAGAAAAGAAGAGGTCACTGATTACAATGCCTGTGAAGTTTTTCAGAGATATGTTAGCTGTCGATAGCATGGCCTTCTATTTATCATAAACGAAATGGCGTCAGATCAGTTTTATCTGTCGAAGGTAGCAGACAGCCCTATAAAACTCATTTTTATAAATATAAAATATTGCGATTAGAGACGGTCACCGTTAATATATGTTTTTTTTTAATTTTCATATTCCCTGCTAAGATTTTCCCATTTTCCTAAATCTGCTGAGTGAAACTCTTACTTTTTCTTACGTTCTTATTGTTATCTTTGTAGACTTTTACTGGCAACAAGGATAGCAATAGCATTAGACGAAACGAGTTTCCACTTCCTCAAATTGCAACGTCCATTATGCTTATGGAGTCTGGAGTGCATGAAAACTTTGCAATCAGGATGGAATTATATGGCTGTGAACCTGGTAGGAGTTATGTAATTGATTGAAAATGATGCTTGTACATGTATTTCTTTACGTGTCAAATTTTTGTCAATTTTTAGTCAGTTCCCCAAGGTCTACTTGGAAATTCATTTCATTTTGTTAAAAGCCTCACATAAAGATCAGTCTGAAACATTGCACTATCACCATAATAACTCAAATTCTAGTACCGATTGCAAAAAACACGTCTGTATACTTTTGGTGAGTTTTTAAGTCTTCACCAACATTCAGAGGACACTCGCTTAATGTGTTCACAGGGTGCTCGTTGAATTGTGTTTCTAGGTATTTGACATTTGGGCGACGAACGTGTCTATTCTATAAACTGTAATTTAGTCCGTTCGATTGTGCAATATTTCGCTCCCTCGAATTGTTTTGAAAAACCAGATTTCTTTTATGGATTCGTTCGATTGTTGTAGATCATGTTATTTTGACACCTTTCCCGCTGACTTTTTCTGCTCCTCTGCTGTTTTCGAACCAGGGAACAAGAATATGGTTTGCACGCAAAGCGTCCTCACGACGGCGATCATCACGCAACACATTTCAAAGCTACAGTTTTCCGTCCCCATAGGTCTCCCAGATTTGCCACACTCGCAAATTATGTTAACCACAACCGCTTCAAATTCTGTCAACACGTTGTTTTATTTTTATTACTTAAGATTCCTGTAAAAAAAAAAAAAAATAATTAGAAAAAAAAAAAAAGAAAACGCTCACATTCTCAGTTCAAAGTTTATTTCTTTCATTTCATGTGACTTCTTTTCGCATGGTTTTTCATAACCTCTCTAGCGGCTTATATTTCCATTGAGAATTCACGTCGTATGGAAATTTGTTCAAGGTGGCGTTTTTGCCATTGTTTTTCTTTTAGGTCAAGAACTTATTATAAATATTAGAAAGTCTTTTGCCCTACTTATCCCACGTCCCTTTTGTAATTATTGGCCGGAGTTTGTTTGTGGATACATTCATCCTGGCCAAATAATCCGCTTAGATTGCACCACACGTGCCTCAAATTTTCAACAAGGTATTCTGTTTATGTGCTTTTACATCGATACCTTGATATGATCGAGTGAAGCGGGCTCTACTGCGGGTTGTTTGCCGGTAAAATTAGTATAATATACTCCTTTTATCTTTTGTTGTGCTTTAGCTTAGATACTTTATCGAGGTTTGCGATATGAGAATTGCGTTTTGTTTAATTACACAGTCCACCATGGGCGACTGCAGTTCTTTATTGGGGTTTGCATACCAAATGTACCCGTGTCACAGTTATAAACTTGGGTATTCAATAAGCTTGTCCTCATTGTACTCTTAAAATGCTCAAAATTTGCTCACTGGAATTCCAAAAAGTTGCTAAAAATTGCCCAAAATGCAAAAAGTTGCATAAATTGACTGATATTTTCATTTAAACGCTAATTAAAAGTTTTATTTTTCGGCCTTCACAATAATTGCTAATAACCTTGGTCAATAAAAATAGCCTAAAACTAAGCTTTAAAGAGTTAATGGCGAGTATGGGCGGAATTCAAGAATACTCTTACGTCTAACGGAACAAAACGTATGGTTCATTTGACGCCTTTCCGAAAGTCATTTTAGCGGATTATCCGTTATAATCTTAGGTAAGGATCGCAATAAGCACGCGAAACGCTGCCAAGTGACAGGTAGTGTGTTCGAAAGGTTGATAAACATTCATGAAATACGCATAAATTAAAGTTTTCTATCGCTGACGATTTTATGCTTAATATGTGCTATAAACCTATATTTTTCTCAAAAATTGCACAGAAAGGCAAAGATTGCTCGAGGTTGCTAGAACTGGAAAAAGTTACTCCAAACGCAAGGACTTACGAGCACAATTGGGACTAGCCTAGTATTAAATAGAGTTTTACAGTCCCTCTCGATGGTCATAGTAATGAAATAAATCATATTTGCTAAATTGTTACCTTGAGTGAAACATTCAAACCAAAGGATGAAAATTGATGCAGAGATTTTTATGATGAATTCTAAATAGGTTCTTCAGCCAAATCTGCAAAGGGATTATCTTTACTATTTCTCTGTCTACTAGTGACGGCTTGAGTTTTCCGAAAAGTTTTTCCATATGATGATGCAGTTAAAAGAAGTCGAAATCGCTGGAAATAAGGCGTAAGAGCCCAGACTACCTAAGTACTTGTCAACTTGAAAGTGTTGAAATCTCCAGAAAAATCAGGTGCCAATAATTATTCGTACATCATCAACCACTTGAAAACTTTAAATTCTTTCAGGCACATGTATATAATAACTCTTCCTGTTTTTTTTTCCAGTCGATTTGGAATTTTTGATTTTCTATATTTGTAGATGGAAATTAAGAAAACTTTTGTAAGTCTCACCGAACACGAACACGTACTACCAAAAAACTCAACCCACACGTGTCTCATTAGGTTCGTGAATTGAGCTCGGACCACAGTAGTAGTACGTTCTCTCGCTACTGCGCAATTCTGGCTCTCCGCATATTCAACAAAAATCATTGTTCTGTGTAGTAATTGCCACTTAATCACATGTGCTTGCTATTTTCAACTATTATGCTGAAAGCTAAATGGAAGCCTCAAAGCAATTTACTGTTGCCACTATCGTATCGTCATGCGTTAGCCATTTTGATGACTCGTCCGTTTCCACTACAAGCTTCTCTCGTCGCCTGGCGCACGGTAGAGAGCAACTCCTCTATTCTCGGGTCTCCGGTTTAAATGTATCCACCATACGCATCATCCTGCCTTAGGTTCCATGAACCCTATCTTTGGTTTTTATTAAAAGAAGAATTTGGGTTGCCCTCCAATTAAGACCAGTGGTTCTCTTAGATTACTTTTCTCTCAGTTTGGACATGTTTTCGGAAAGAAATATGCTTTCAACTTAAGGGATAGGGCGAGGAAAATAGTGGCTTTTAGGAATAACTGGAAATACAGTTGAAACTACTTGAAACAGCGCCAAATTCGTCACACCCTGCAAAACCATGTTTTGAAAATAATGTGTTATTGTATGTATAGCAGGCGAAGGTGCTAGAATGATCATTGAGGATACGTCCATAATTGTTTTTGGAACCAAGTAAGATATTGTGTCTAATTTTGCTTCTTGTATTTGGAAGCCTGTAACCTCATTTTTGTTCAGTCACGTACCTTTATTCAAGTAAGACCAATGTTGAGGTATGACGATGGGCTAACGCTCGAAACGTCGGCTTTGAAACTTATCACGGTGGCCAATTTACGTTGTCAACTCAGTTGATAATACTAAATTACCTTCTTATTTTCCGACGCGGCACCACAGTTTCTCTAGACACTTACCCCCCTTTATTTAATGTCAATTTTTTTTTCTTTTTCGGATTTGTGAAATTTTCCATACGCGTTGCATGGTATCCGCTTCGACACTTGAAACAAATTACCATATATTATTATTATATTACCAGGCCAATATATTTTAGATACCATATGAAATTAGATCTTAGTTGATTCGGCACGTACTTAAGATAAAGGAATCAAGAAAGAAAACAAATCAGAGTATTCCCCAAGATTCGAAAGCCAAACCTTCCTAATTCGCTTTCAATGCTTCTGCACGGAGCCATAGTGAACTCGTTGCTCAACTAGGATATGTAAAAGGTGTAGCAAAGGTTCTATCTATCTACATTAAGTATAGATCAATCCTTACTTGTTACTAGACTTGGTAAAACAAAGACAGAGAACAATAATGTACGTTTGGCAGGTATCTATTGGATCTTAAATACTAATTTAAGAGAATTGACCGAGTGGTGAGTTAGGATTCTGGGCTTGTAATCCGGCTTTTGGGACTGGGCACAAGCCTTAGCCATGCCACCACGCCACCATGCCATCCAGTGGGTTTGTTCTCGGTGGCCTGGGCTTAACTCAGTGGTTGCACATTGTACATACTAATGTTTATGCCTACACTACACTGATCACTGACATGTCGTCTATGGAGAAATTTGATCGTCAATCTATATGGTTTACAGGTTATTACTTCGTGGTTTGGCTTTTGCTTGGAGATTTTACCTTTTCAACAACTTATCTTGATAAGCAAGAGGTGGAATACCAAGCTACATCGGACGGCGTCGTGGACGAGGTATGAGGTGTCTGCGTTATTTTATTTGATGAAGCCACCAATACGGCCTCGTAATTTTCAGAATTGGCAGGGCATTTTCAATTCAATTTTTTTCAGACAATTTTCCTCGTATTTCCTTAAATTTCGAATGAAAGCAAATTATGAAATGAAAATATAACGCTCAAAATTTTCGAACTTCCTTGGCGGAAAAAGTCATCCGCATGTGACAAAGATTTAAAAGGTTTTGTTTTCTAAGACCAACTTTTTTTTTCAACGGTTCGCTGGAAAAAAAAGCAAGCAAACAAACAAACAAACAAAAGCAGGAAATCCCTGAAAATACTTGCTCTGTAAAAATTTCCACTTTGCGTTTCCTTCGTAGCTTAACGGTTTGTTTCCTTTTTTTCCTTGTAGGTGGTACTTGCTCTGAAAAGAACTCCTGGTTTCCTGTCTGCTAGTCTGCTACAGTTTAGGTTGGTTTTTTGGCGGTTGTTGACTAATTTAAGTGGCTAGATTTGTTTGATATCCTTCAAGTGGTTACTAGTAAATTTAAGACCAAAAATTTTATCTTTGACCTCTTCTCGAGATCAGTAACAGCCTGGAATTCAGAAACTTCAACTAAACGGACCGACTATCCTATGCATATTTAGGCCTTGCTCCAAACAGACTCACTCTTATGTTTTCGACTTGAGTTGTGTGCCATTCTAGAACAAGGTGATATGTAATTGTACTTCGTGAGTTACTTGAATGTTCTGGTGTTATATGGAGAAATTTTGGTGATCTTTATACCAGGAGGCTCTATCATTTGATTTTTATTCCTTAGCCCACAGGCGTCCGGTGCCGAGATAAAGCTCACAGCAGAGTTGAAGATCGAATGTATTGAAGCCAGCGTGCACGGTATAACAGCTGCGCTGACAAGCTTCATGCAAATGTACCCAAGGCTTTTCGAGACGCCTGCCAAACTGCAGTACCCTTGTAAGTCAAATGCAATACTTACCTTCAGTCTGCGTAATTCTTTTGTATGGCTTGATAATGAATACCAAGACTGTACGGGTTGGTCTTGCATTTACAGTGATAGAGATGATGTATTCTTAAATTCGATTGTGATCAAAATTTTGAAAATATAATCGAAGTTGATCAACACCGTGTTTTTTAATGATTTGTACTTATTATTTTTGGCAGTGGATTATAAATGTCGGCCGCCTGACGTACATATTCATCTTAACAAAACGCACAGAAAGGCAGCGAGGATAACGGCAGTCGACATGTTTGTAATCATTGGAGAGGTGACTGCTCACTGCAACTCTTCCTCTTCTTTGTTGCTTCTGTCGTGGGAAAGGAGCAAGGTGAATAAAGAAACCGGAGCATTCGCCGTGGGTCCATCCTTGGATAAATTTAGAGGCTCCAAGAACCTTACTATCGAACCAAGGACGCTATCTCCTGGCTTATACTATTTTAGACTAGTCGCTGAAATGACCGAGGAGGAAGGTGCTATTAATTCTGATTTTGGTTTTCTAGAAGTGGTCTTACCAGACATTGTTGCTAAGATCCGTGGAGAGAACATAGCAGTTAAGGGCACAGGCAAAATTATTCTAGACGCATCAGATTCTTATGACCCTTATGAAAAGAATCTGAAAGACCAGGGATTGGTCTTTACATGGCTCTGCCGAAGGGAAGAAGAAGATTTCTCGAACGTTCAGTTGCTTCCAATCGACCAATCCAATGGAAGGGATAAGGTCCTTGGAGGATGCTTTGGATATGGTGTCGGTGCGTTGAATACGACTGAACCTACGATTGAGATCGATATCAGTGGAATGATTTCGCAGAGTAGTTATGTTTTCAAGGTTATTGTTCAGAAAGATAACAGGAGTTCCTCTGCCAATCACAGTCTATTGATAGCGTCGTCCATTTCCTTTGCTATCAGGTGGGTTATTTGAAGGTATATCTGTCTATTCAGAATGCTTCCAACAGTGGCCTTAAGGCGTTCATGCTTTGTAAAAGAGACCGGTGATACGTCTGAGATATCGAGTTTACGAGCCTCACGCAGATCCCAGCCTCACGCAGATCCCAGAAGCCAAAAGGCATCGGAAGTAATATATGCAGGCAGAATCAGATTCCAAGGTATAATGTTATGATGTTAATTCTTAGCTGTTTTTATTATCAGGTGTAAAACAAACTGTGGTGATAGAGTCACCGCCAATAAAAGAATGGTGATCGAGTCCACATGCACAGGGCTCTCCTGCAAAACAATCAAGTCGTATAACTGGACACTTTACATGGTCGACCCTTGGAGCGTTAATGAAACGTGGATAGAAGAAAAGTTGGGGGATAAGATACTCACCGAGCTAGACAGTCCAATTCTGGTGTTCAAAGGAAAATTAAACCAATGGGAGAACTCTCTAATGGATGACGGAACCTACAGGCTGAGAGGCATAGTTCATCTGACAGATGGCACCACGGAAGAGAGCGAGATCTATTTCAGAACTAACTCAGCTCCTTATCCTATCCATGATGACTCAGGATGTAAAGTGAATCCTAAGAAAGGGCATGCAGTGACCACGGAGTTTTTCATTTCCTGTGATGGGTGGTATGATGATGACTTACCTCTCAGTTATGAGTTTAGGTACGTCGAGTCAGCTTACAATTCGGTAGATTTCGAGTTTAACTTAGGGAAGCTGTCGATTTCTTGCCCAAATCTTGGTTAAAAATATTTTCTTTAGGTGAGTTGACACCTTCAGTTGCCTCGGTTTCGAGTTGCACGAACTAATCAAGTGTGAGTCAAATTGAGTTCCAGTTTTGTTTCCCTGTGGAGTCAATGAGTCTTGATTTCTTGGTTATTAAGTGGAGGTTTACAAGAGATGGTCTCACCTACATCTGTCAACGTAGAACATGACTCATCCTTTCTTCTCTGGTTCTTATTCCTTGCAGCTATCACACAAACACTGGTTTTGTGGTTGTGCAAAAAGGATCATCACCTAATGCAACAGCGAGACTACCTCTAGGGGATCCACTGCACGACTATGCAATAGCATTGGAGATACAGATCTTGGATTCCCTTGGAGCGAGCACGCTGGAAATCCTTGTTGCAATGGTATGTTTCATACTAAAAAGGTTTGTTTTTTACTTTGGATGTCATGCATTTGATCTAAAATTTCTGAGGGAAAGCGCTTCGAATTTTTGCTTCTTTCAGCATGTTGTTTCATTTAAAGGTTAAACGATATCCGCTCCAGCTGCAATTCATCCAAGCTAACCCTTGGATGAGATGTCAGTCCCTTGCAGGTTACCCTTACGCCCTCCCCCCTCACTTCAGAGGTAAAATAAATCCTTAACGCGGTGATATATCGGTCTCTAAGCGACGACTGCCTGTGTCACTAATTAAAACCTGTACGAAATTTAGTTTGTATTATGAATCTGTTTACTAGGACCACTGTACATTTCAGGTTGAGGCAATGCCCTCCGAGGATGTTTCTGGAACCCTGATGAATATGGCCAGTGGGGAAGAAAGCCCTTTAGGTAATCTCCTCAAATCAGGTGATGTCGACAAAGCTGCCACAATGGCGTATGCTGTATTGTCCATGGTAGACACAAGCGAGGGAAAGATGGACAGCGATCAAAAGAAATCTGTAAGTTTGCTTAAATGTGTGAGACTGACTGTTCTAAAATTGTCTTTCCGCACAAAATACATCTCATAGATTGCACGAGAAATTTGTTTTGCATCTCTCAAAGCTTTGGAAAGTAGAGGATTTGCGCTTTTATGGTACTAGGAACTTTTTCCGAAAGCAGATTTAAAAAACTTGTTAATGAAGGCTGCGATAGGTACACAAAACGAGAAACGTCATTTGATATACAAGTATCACCGAAATACTGTTTTGATGCAATGGAAACAATTAATTTCATGGTAGCTTTGACGTTTTATTTAACTCAAGAACTGCAGGTTCTATTATCTGCTCCTTTTCACATCACATCATTGCGTTTACCTTCTCAGTTATTTCTTCTAGCCGGGTTTTCTTCATCTTGGAGTTATTCATCTCGACACGACTTCATCCAAGTATACTTTTGTCACTTCAGTCATTTGTGTACTTCAACACTCAGTCTCTTCTTTGTGCACCTGTCTTTGATTTTCTAACGAAGTTAAGCAAAGAATTTTCAGAACCTTATCTAGTTTCTTCTTCCTCTCTGCATTGTGCGTATGCTAGAACTGAGCGCTATCTATACAGCGAAGCTTCTTATAACCGTGGTCCAACCAATATATGTAATTTTATTATTTCATTAACCTCCAAGGATTCAATTTGCCTTCTCCTATCTCTCAAAAGAGATTAAGGTCAATAGCGTGTTCTAGTGCGCTCAAAGTTGCATTAATTCTTATTCTAACCTCCTTCATAGTAGTTACACTAAAGAATTTTTGCACTCTGATAGCCAAGATAGAAAAAAGGAAAAGGAGCCGCAGAATGGAGCCAAACAGCCAAACTAATGTTTGCCTCTTATTTCTTAATATATTGCCATTCCTAAGTACATCAGTCCATTACTCTATGTTCATTCATCTATTTATCATTTGCCTCGATCCTGCTTAAAAATTCTAGGCACTTGGTCCACGGTTGAAGTAATAAACATGTCCAATGCATTCATAGATCCCAACCACACACTCCAACAGAGTTAACGTGTTTTATGCTTTCACAACCACAAGTTATTCTGAACACTTTTCACACTGAGCCCAGGCATACCAACACCGCTAGAAAACTCGAAGCTCCGGGATCCTGGCGTTTAAACTGTGAATGAACCTAGCCACTAACGTCGTAGCTAAACGGTGTGAGGTTACTTGTCGGTAGATCATGACCGAGTGACGTGGAAACTGAAAATAGTAAATCAAAGGAAGGCTTGATCCAATCTCAAATTGTAATGTCTTATATTTTGCAAGGACCCATATCGAAGTTTCGGTCAGCGGGAAAATCTGTAAAAAATCTGTTGAAACTCTCTTACACGATATTGCAGGACTTCATTCCTGCTTGTGGTACTGGACCTTATTAGCTCCTTTAATGGTGGAGAACACCTCATGTTTTTGGGTGAATATGTGCTTGTTTCAAGCAGCCATCTTTCCAGCAAGATTACTCCTCCTTGTGGTTTCCACTTGTATTTTTGGAAAGAAAAAGTCGCTACTTTAGTCTTCTTTTGTCTGGTTTGAAGAATGTCTAAATCTCTGAACCAACTTTAATTCAAACACCACTAAAGTTTATTGAAAATACAAAAAAGCCGAAGTCGTTGATCAAAAAAACTTTAAAACATTGGAACCAAGACAGAAAAAAAATACATACTTATGAAAAATAGAAAGAGGTGAAAAGAAAGCAAGAAAGGTGTGAAGTTAGTAAAGAGTGATTCCCTAATTTCTTGGATATTCGTATGAAGTTCCTTCCAATCAAACTTAACGCTTTACGCTACAGCTAAAATTTTTCACTTTTTTAGAGGCTTTTAACTTAGTACTCGCACTAGATTCAAGGCACTGTATCACAAGAAAGTAACGGTCACTTTAAAAGTTATCATTAGTGACACACAGAGACGCAATTTTTCACGTGTACGACAGTTACTCGCCAGATGTCGACACTTGGAGGGAGCACTGCACTTCCATTATCAATCATTTTCGACAATGTTATACATCCTTTTAACACACAGGCCACTTTGGTAAGAACGGTTTTACGCTCACAGTTTAATGTCACCAAGAACACAGTCCGTGATGTAAGTACATGGCGACACATACTGACACACGCGTAAATTGATGTTTTGTTTTCTTTCCATTCATCTACTTTATTTGTCTGTTCGTTCACATTCTAATCTCGTTTCCTTTTTTTCTTTTGTTTCTTTCGTTTTTCCCTCAATCAATAAAAGCCTTCCATTGAATGTGTTGCATTTCATTCATATTTTCTTTTGTGTCGGTTTTGTCGATTAATATTTGTTTTGTTCAATTATTTTGTTTGGTCATTGGTCGTGATAAGCTCAGCTTTAAGTGCTTTTATTTTGAGAATCAAATTTATGTCACATTCATACAAGACGAAGGTTCCTCGAATGCGACTCACAAAACTGCAATAAAAACGTCAGTACCATTGGCTGAGTAACAACTCCGCCACGAGAATTTTAGGAGCGACTGAGGTTTGGACTTTCGGTCCATTCCGGCTTTCAGGAAAGTCGGAAGTCTCAATCGCAACGTGCAATTAAGGTTCCTTAGTATTTTATGTCAGAAAAAGGACTGGAAATGGATTTCATGTTTCATGTCATGAAAATCTCACTCGATGAGTAGATTGGGATGAAAAAGGGAAAGCGTTTACGCTTTTTTAAGATGTGTATCATATATCAAAAAACCAATTTGATAACTTTTCAAGCAAGTTTTAAAGATAGAACAGCTTTCTAATTATTTTTCCTTCCTCTTTACATCGTTTTCAGCATAAAAGGATGACTATCCCTAATAATATTCTTTCGGTGGTCGTATCAATTTTGAAAACAAAAACAGGAAAATTTGCAGTCAAGTTTTTCTTTCGCTTAAACAGCCACTGGTGTCTTATCCGATCAAAATCGTCCGAAGAGCCAAACACATGGATTTCCAGAGACTTGTAGACTCGGGGACGGAATTGCAGGTTCAAAACGACCTTTAAACGTCGCTGTCAGAGAGGAGAAGCCACATATATTCACGAATGACGGTGTAGCCAGACTCCTTTACGTTTCAAAAGATTTACGTGAAACATTCTTTTTGTTCACAGTTAAAAGATACCATAATCGGGCAGATGTCCCATGTTAAAGTTACCAGCCTTGAACAAGTTACACAGATGGCAGCAGTGGTTGCCCTAGCAACGGAGCAAAAAGACGAAATCTCAACTCAGTCGCAGGTTAGGCTCTTGCCTATTAGGCAAAACGTTGCAGTAGTGAAATACATATGCACTTTCTTTGATTCATTTGCCAAAGAATTTCTTGTCAAGTGATCCGTGTCCTATGGGTTCTCCTGATTACACCCTTAACTTACTCTTTATTCTCTAGTTTTTTCATGTGCGTAAATACTTTTTTCCTGAACGCTTCTAATTTTTCCTGGACAGGAGAACGCCGTAAACCTATTAGAGAACACGGCCGACTTCGTTTCCTCTCAGTTAAGTTCTGGTACTGCGGATCCTGAGGCCCTTCAAAACGTCGGCTTTAGTCTTCTATATGGCATATCCAACGTCATGAATGCTGCATCCACGGGTGCTAAACAAGAGGAGGTAGATGAAAACGAAGGTGACGAAAGTGTGGTGACTGAAAAGTCTATCAAAGAAACAAACAAGGAGAAGAAGAAAGATAACAAAGAAAAGGTACTATGTTTTATTTACTTCATGACGCTCACGGCGGTTAAGTAGGAAGCACGTGAAAAGGTTATGAAGGCAATGCCTTGCCTCCATAATAATAATTTAAAAATATCCACCAAAGTGGAGGTGAACAGTGTTGGATATTTACCGAGCTACGATGCAGCGTGGTAAATATCCGCCACTTTCACGGACACTGAGGTGCATAACTGTTTTAGTATACACTACACAGATGGAAAAAATAAGTTTATTTCTTTCAAAAATTGGTCGAAATGAAATTGTTGACGAGCGATTGTGTTTTGCCTTCTCGGAGGTGAGTAATATTTGCTATTTACATCCGAACAAACCAATTAGCGTGCGCAAAAAGCACTATTCACCTGTGTGATATATACTATTAAATATGTCGTGTGCTGGTTAAATTTCTGGTTAGTACTCGTAGTTTTGGTCAGAGAACTTTTTGTTTTGTAAGTTTTCATCTCAGTGGGGTCTAGGTATTCGAGATTTCCATTTAGAACTGCAAAACCGCTCTGTGCGAGCACCACAGATAACATGCTTCAAGCTATTTTAGAAATATTGTTCCATTGTAATTTTAAATTGAGATCTGTTTTTTAGGTTTTATTATTTGTTTATCACTTTCTAGAACAAGAAAACGGCGGAAAAAACTCTCGAATTGATGGATAAAGTCGGCTCAAGCCTGTTGGGCACCAAAACAGTTGGGGAGAAACCAAGCGTATTTAAAAGCAAGTCCTTAAAAATGATGCTGGATAGGCAGGTACCGTCAAAAATTGGCGGCAAAAAACTCGACGACGGAGAAGGGGAAAGTGGTGTGGCATTGCCTTCGGCTGCCACCTTGTTTGGAGACAGTGCTGAAAGTCTTCCTTCTGTCGACTCGCAGGTAATTGTTACATTAGAGAAGACACATCCAGTCATGCCGATGAATCTTATCAGATTCACGCATTTTCAGTCGGAATCTATTTTTCCTCAAGTATCGCGCTAAATATTGTAACATAAAAGGCATACTGATTTCTATTGGCTAATATTTGAAACCTGCTTCAATCAGAATGCAATTTTAAGAATAAATAATATGTATACAGACGTTAGCTGTGCAATTACGAGATCCTATGGTTAAGTTTTTAGTTTCTAACGGTGAAAATTGAATTTTTCCCAGATGCTTTCCTTTACGGACAATCCTTATACTTGGGATGCAAGCTCTAACAACATCAGGTCTTCGGTGATTGATTTCTCTTTGAAGGCTGCTGACGGAAGTGCATTAGAAGTGTCTGGTCTACCGGAACCGGTAGAACTTTTCATACCTCAGAAAAAGGACAATGAAAACAAAGGCAATGAAACAGCGACAGTATATTTTGCCAAACCAAGCGATGGCTCCAACAACTTACGCTTTCATCAAGTGGTGGTTCCATTAGAAAGTTCTTCCATGATCGTCGAAGTGAAACCGGAAGATGGAGTCTCCCTGGAGATCTACGTCAGGCCCAAAAACAAACCAACAGTAACGGAGTACAGTTTTAGTGTGATTCTCCCCAAAATCGAGTTCTGCAACTCGACGGACACCACCTTAAACTGTAGCTCAGAAGCGTACAAGTTCAGCATAAGCAGTGCACTGACTGATCACGTAGGATTACATTATGTGGGGATCAGATATCCAAGACCAGAAAGCGACCCTACATCGTCCTCAAAGGTTGAAGTTGAAATTGTAGCGGAGCGTGTCAGAAGAGGATGTGAGAGTCACGGCGGTAGGCAGAAACGGTCTTGCATTGGTGTTAAGACTCCCCCAACCACCCCTCCTCCAAAACTTCAGATACTGGTACCAAAGTATAATGCAAGTACAGACGTGAATTATACGATGTCTGTAACGGCTACGTCATGTTTGTACTGGTCTGAAACAAAGCAGACTTGGACAGGTGATGGCTGTAAGGTGAGATTGATCTTAGCCATATGAAAAAAATGCAAGACAAACTGAAGTTGAAGTGTTAGCTGCGACCATAGCTCTCCAGTAAGACTGTTTACTTCATCTGTAAATTCTGTGTGCTGGATAGGCAAGAACAAACCGAGTAATCGGAGCTCGCTTTTTATTCGGAAAAATAAGTCTAAGTTTCTTTTTTAAATTTAAATTATTTTCCTATAAATTCTGTGCTTCATTTCTAACAAGCAAACCAAATCATGAAAAAAAAAAAAGAAAAAAAAACAGTAAAAAAACCAAAAAATCTAACCCTTATTTCTTTCGTTTTGTGTTTGTTTTGTTATGTAGGTGGGACCTAAGACGGTCGCCAGAAATCTTCACTGTCTCTGTACCCATCTATCTGCTTTTGGTGGAGACTTCTTCGTTGCACCGAATCCTATCGATTTCGACAAAGTCTGGGCCGAATTTGGCAATTTGGCGGAAAGTGGAAACTTTGTAGTACTGGCTACAGTTTGTTCCCTATTTGGACTTTACTTCGTTGGACTTGTGTTCGCTAGAAAATCGGATAAAAAAGACGAATTGAAGGTTAGTTTCTCTAAATGCAAAGACTCCCTTAAACGGTTAAACTCCTATAGTCCTATTCCCTTTATGAGGGTATCACAGTGGTTCATTTCAAAACGGAATGTTAAAGTTTAACTCTCTTTTCAGGTCGTGGCTAATGTGTATTTGACTGATAATACTGACGATGGGTACCTCTATGAAATCTCCGTTCAGACCGGAATATGGAAAGGCTACGGGACTACTGCAAACATTGGCTTGATTATCTATGGAGAGCTTGATACCACTCCCCCCTTACCATTGTCGGACCCGGGAATGGATAAAATTTTCTTCGCCCGGGGGAGCATCAACAACTTCACGCTGTCTGTGCCAGAATCGCTTGGCAATTTGGTGAAGATTAAGATTTGGCATGACAATAGCGGCAGGAGTCCTGCTTGGTTCTTCCAACAGGTGCAGATCGTCGATACACAAACCGGCGAAAAATGGAATTTTCTTGGTAATCGCTGGTTGGCTGTAGAAAAAGGAAGCGGCCAGATAGAACTAGAAGTTAAAGCTGCTGACAAAAAAGAACTTGCTGGATTTAGAAATTTATTCTATTCGAGGACTGCACGGAGCCTGGGTGACGGTCATTTGTGGTTGTCGGTTTTTACCAGGCCTCCACATAACACGTTCACTCGTTGCCAGCGTCTTACGTGTTGCTTGTCGATTTTATTCGCCACTCTTGTAACAAACGCTATGTTTTATCAATTTGATAAAGCACCAGGAGACACTTTTCAAGTTGGGCCACTGAAATTAAGTTGGATACAGATCAAGATCGGAATTCAAAGCAGTATCATCGCCATTCCAGTAAACGTATTAGTTGTTACGATCTTTAAAAACATTAAACATCCGCCTCCTGTGGATGCTCGAGGATCCAATAAGAAAGTGCCCGGCTGCCTTCCTCATTTTTTTGTGTATGTAGGTTGGACTCTGTGCCTGCTCACCTCCTTAGCAGCAGGTGCTTTCACCGTATTTTACAGCTTGATGTGGGGTGCGGAAACATCTAACAAATGGCTCACATCAATAATGATTTCATTCTTTCAAGATGTTATAGTCACTCAGCCAATCAAAGTTGTCTTGATTGCATCTTTACTATCGTTGATTATTAAAAAGCCTCCGGAGCAGGAAGACGTAATTGGCTCATCTATGTCAAGAAGCAGTGGAAAAGACAGCCAGGTATCCGCACCTCACGGTGAAGCGCTCAGAAAAGCGCGTGAATTCCAGAGCAAAGTGTTGGAAATGTTCAGGACGATCATCGAAATGGTGTTTTTCTTTTTATTCATTGCTCTCCTGATGGTGGTGTGCTATGGCAATAGAAAACCTACCAGGTTCATGTTGACTACAGAGTTGGAAAAACGTTTTAGTGGCTTTGATAAGGTTAGAGTTCGAAATCAGTTACAACACTTAACAAACAAGAAAAGAAATAATGGGTAAACATATGAGCTACTTTCCCTTTCACCAAAACAAACCTCTAACTTTACTTTTATATGGAAGTCTTGCAAGAGTAGGAGACCAAGAGCTTCCAATGAGACTGTAGCGGCTCCTTGAGTGCTTCCATACCTTTCACGGGGTTAAAAATTATCCGTTGAAAATAAGCAGCCAATCTTTCACTCCATTGAAGATATGAACAATTACAAAAGAAATAAAAAGACGAAAAAGAGAGCATCTGGGTGAACATGGGTTTCTTTCGGGGGCTTTCGGAAGCTTGCTTTACCATTTTCCTTTCAGTGACGTGATCAAGTCATCTATGAGTAATTTTACGCATTTTCCGTTGATAACCCCTTAGGTGCATAACCCAGACACCTTCTGGACATGGACAAGAGCGATACTGGTCCCAGGACTGTACAATGTGGCGTGGTACAATGGAAAACCCTTTGAGTATGAGGAGGGCTTCATCAGCAGCAGAGAAGCCTTTATGGTGGGGATGCCGCGACTGAGACAGGCTCGCATAAAGCCAGGTGAGAATTATTTACCGTGGGCTACAAGTCAGGCTACAGGCCAGGCCCTGGTAAATATATATATTTTTTAATCTCACCCTAACCCACTATACTCAACCCCCCTCGTTACCGATCTTCCAACATAGTCCATTACTCTTGTCCTTCTCTTAGAGGCTTCGCTAACTCTCTCTCTGTCTACATCTGGTATTTTAGTTATCTAAGACAAGCTACCTTGACAGCGACGTTTGAGGTCATCATTCAAAGAGGTCATTGATTTATTTAGTGATTGAATTGTGCTACCCAAGTAATTCGCTCCGCTAGTTTTTGTGTCAATGTGCACCTCTCTATATTTGAAGTTGTATCACCATTAGTCTTCATATCCTCAAATTTTATACAGATGTAAGATGTGCAGTGGAGCTAAACCAACCAGAATTGGCGCATCGGTTCGGTCGTTGCCTGTCTGCGTACGTCGACAAGGTTGCAGACTCTACCTTTTTTAATCAGCCGGGTTGGTTTCCGGTTGAGAACACCAGTGTAGCTCTCTCCATGTTTGAGTTGTACGACATGTGCCCCAGGCCCTGGCGTTATCGAACGGCAGAGAATTTAACCACTCTCTCTGTGCAGGGTCTTCAATCCTCTTATGGAGGTGGTGGTTTCGTCGCCGACCTCGGTTATAATGCCAAGTCTGCTCTCGAGGTGTTGGATGGCTTGCAGAAAAATAATTGGATTAACGACTTAACAGCAGCAGTCTTCGTTGAATTTACAATTCATGAACCAGCGACTGCTTTATTTAGCGTTTTGAAATACTTGTTTGAGCGTTTGCCAACGGGTGGTTACAACACCGAGACAAGCATCAAAACGTTGACGCTGTACGCTTCACCTGATTCTGCTTTTGGGTCTTTTTATCAGCTCTGTCAGCTGCTTCTGATGTTGATCATTCTGTTCTTCTTCTTCGCTGAAATCGGTAAAATTTATCGCCAAAAATGCGGCTATTTTAAGCTGTTCTGGAACTGGATGGAACTACTTCAGATCTTTGGTGCCGTCGCTGCTATTGTTATGTTCTTCTTTAAAGAAATGTACACCAGTAGATATGTCAAACGCGTGCAAAATAATCCTTTTGAGACTTCGAGTACTGATTACATCGTACTATGGTCAGAACTTGAAATTTACTTGTTGGCTTTTGTTATTTTTATCGTGACAATGAAGTTTTTAAGACTTATTCGTTTCAATCGTCATATCTGCCAAATGATTGCCACCATACAGAGATCTGTTGGTCATTTGTTTTCGTTTTTTGTTGTGTTCGTTGCAATCATTCTCGCCTACACACAACTCGGATTGCTTGTTTTTGGAAGCAACGTTCCCGCCTACTCCTCTTTCTTTCAAGCTATGCGTGCTGTCTGCCAGATGATCCTTGGGGGCGAGTCTCACTTTCATGAGCTTAAAGCGACCAGTAGGTTTGTTGGACCCCTTTTTGTGTTTTGTTACATGCTGAGCATGTCCATGATCATGTTGAACATGTTCCTTGCCATACTCAACGACTCTTACGAAGAAGTCAAAGATGTAGAAGGAGACAGTTTTGCTGACGCAGAGCTCGGTGAGTTTATGAAAACTTATTTCGAAACACGGGTCGGTCACTTTTGTGATGAGTTAACTGCTTACTTCAAGAAGATGATGAGCTTTGCGCAAGCAAAGAGAAGACCTAAGATTCAAGATGTTGAGAGTTATGTTAAAGTTCCAACTGATTCAATCGACGGATTCGACAAAGTTGATGGCATTGAGGTGGGCGATGAGATTGTTAAATTAGCTAAAATCGTTTCAATGGAAGATCTAAGTGACAGTGAAGATGACATCTCCGAGGCCCTGGAAGATGTAAAGCATAATTTATCTGATATCAATGAAGAAATAAGACGTTCGATTTCCCTACTTGGATCCGATACAAACCTTAAGACTCTCAACAAAGATCTCAAATGCTCGTGCGAGGACAACAGTTATCCATACTTCGGCAACATCTGGGAACGCCAATACGATCCTAATGATCGTTTCCGTAGAAGGAAAACTCCATACACGGAGCCTTTGTTAGCTGAGATTTCAATGGATCACCTCGAGGACCCACATCTAAAGGGTGACGATGGATATAATAACAACGATAGAAACGGGTATCCATACTTCACGAACATCTGGGATAGACTTATAGATCCAAACGATCGCTTCCGTAGGAGAAGAAGGCTGAGAACTCCTCAGCGAGAGTCTCTGTTCGACGATAATTTACAGGAACAGACAGAGGAAGTTGATCTTGGAGTTGGTGAGGAAGGCGACAGGTTTGACTCAGTGAGGCTTGAGGAGCATTCGACGCCTGAGGTAATGTCAAACAGCACAACGAATAGTAATCTGTTAGATGATATCCAAGAAAGTTTTGTGTGAAGGCCATGATCTCGGCATATACTTTAGGCTAAGGCGTTGACAGGCTAAGGTAGTGCTGAAAAAAACCAAAACTGTACCAGAAAGAGAGTATGTGCAAATGTACAATAATCTTACTTTAGGTTAGTGGTCTTAGGACATTTCTCCAAAATGGCGGCCAGAAATTAAAGTAATTGAACATCTGTGATAAAAAAACACAGTGGTTTGATAAAATTTCATCGAGTCAGCCAATATATAGCAGAGAAAAGTGATTTGAATTTAATATGTAGGTAAATATATGCAGACAAAAGTTAGTTAACGTGTAAATAAATAAGAACAAACTCACTGGAGAACTGGTGGTAAAATTGATCTCTTTAGGAGGAAGAACGACTCGTGAATGAAAACTTAAGACAACATGTTTTAGGTTTTTAGTGGTTTTTGATTGAGCGTAGAAAAACAAAATCTCAGCGATCTCAACGACCAATTGACACAAAAGGAGAAATCACAGGGAGCTATTCTAATGGCAAACGAGAGTCAACAAGTGTCTTGATTGGCTTGAATTTTTCTTTTGATTGGTCCGTAGGTAAGGGTGACTTTTTTAAACCAATCACAGTAGGTGGTGAAGCAAACCCAATGCATTCAAGGGTTGCTTTCTACACTCAATTGAAAATTGCTTTACGCAATCTTAGTGTATACCGTAGATCGTGTCGACATATCTTTGGTGAACTAATGTTCTGTTTCAACCTAAAAAAGACTGAGGACTCAAAATGTATCTTGTAAAACTCAGATACCCGCACTGGATCTCCTTCCTCAGCAGCTAAGTTTGAAATGAAATAGCATCTCCTAAGTAACAATCTGTAACTATAATACAACCTACTCTAGGAAATAGGTGTATTAACTGTACATAAGAAAAAAAACAGCATATAAAAACCTCTTAAGAGAACCTATCGCTAGATTCTAGTGAATTTTCATGGAATAGATTGATTTCTGGTTGATCGCTCGATATTTTGAAAACTACATATAATTCGTTTTTATAAAATCTTTTTGTTGTCCTTTGGGACCCCTGAGAAAAGTTTACTTTTGTACTGTAAAAACGTTCTTGAAAAGATAATTTTCAACTTACCATTCGTTGCATATTCAATGAAGAGTACGGGGGATAGAATATTGGGTTATGCTTTCATGATCAACAAGACTCAAATAAATTGAGAATTTTTTTGCATCCATGCGTTCTTTTGTTTTTCAAATTGCCATGATACGCGAGGGCAATTTCAAGGAAACGAACGGATATGACATTTTTTTGTTTAGGGGATGGCCTAAGGTGAATGAATCACGTTTTCCTAAGGGCCCAGTTGTTCGAGGGCTGGATCCGGATTTCTTTATTCCTCTGTTCAAAAGCCTTTTCGAGATAATTTCTCTATTCTTTTTAGAACATCCAATAATCGAAATCTGGACAAAAGAATTATACTGAATTTTCTTTCAAAGCTTTCAGATCTTAGATCAGCTTTCACACTAACCCTGGCCATGGGTTATCTTAACCCAGGGGTGTTGAATAACCCGGTTCTGGTGAGATAGCAACTGTGGTGCTTTAAAACAGTAAAAAAAAAAAAATGCTTTTCCCCGTTGTTCTGACGCAGGCATGCGCGGATAAATCCAGGCAGCGAGTCAGGGGAATTTCTATTCTCTAAAGAGTCTGGAATAGAACTGAAAACACTTCATCTGACATTACAGAAGCGAAGTGACGGTTATTTAGCTCTGACTAGCCGGGAGAGCATCATGAAGTCCAATTTGAAAGCGACTGTGAGAGAGTCTCAATGGGGTTAACCGCCAGCCGGGCGTAAAAAGGCCGGCCGTTAGGAGCATCTTGAAAGCATTTGGAAAGTTTCAAAACATCAGACTGTTATGTGTTTTACCTTGGTGCTTATGCGAACGGTAAGAAATCTAAGTTATGAATTCGATGCTAAAATAGGCTAGACGTGCGTATACATTTCCTGGCTGGCTATTGCAATGTAATATTAAAACGTCTAAGGTCTTACTTATTTGAAGGGCAGATAATTTTTTTTCATTGAATAAACTTATCCAGTGGATATTCTATAGTTATCCCCCCAATAGATATTAGTTCTTTAAAGCTGAATGGCTCCTTATATATACAGTGTTCAACACCGATTTCTGTCGATCTCTGGTTCGCTTAGCTTACAAAGTTCAAATCAAACACGGAAGCATTTGCGTTTACTTCTTTTTATTCGAATTTGGGAAACAACAATAGCATAACGTTATTCATAATCTATGAAACTAAAAAAAAAAAAAAACTGCAGCGAAAAGTCGATCAGACCTTGCACTGTAACAGGGTAATTTGGTATTATCAACTGAGTTGATAGCGTAAATTGGCCACCGTTAAGAGTTTCAAAACTGGCGTTTCGAGCGTCAGCATTTCGTCACGCCTTACACTGAATTGGTTTATATTTTTAATGAAGTATTAAGCTTGCATTTTGAGGTTATTTCCCATTGCAAGTTCGCCCCCACTTGCACCTTTCATCGTTTCCTTACGTCAGAGCAAATCCTTTTGTCGGTATAACATTCAATTTTCTTTTTCAAAGTCAAACGCTTAAGCAGGTGATTCGTTGTTCCTCGCTAAAAAAACATCTGTTGGCTCCCAAAGGACTCCTTTTGTTCAGTTTGTTCTTAAAAGTAACTCTTGAAATTTGCTGTGCCTCGCCTCAGTTCTTTTGATGTCATTATGTGTAACCGTCGTTTCTTCTTTACTGATTCATCGCGAGCACTCCGGCATTGTGTCCGCTTGGTTTGAAAATCGTCAGTAGGACTGATTAGAGAATTATGCCTCTGTCGTTCTATGTTCTTTTGCACGATTCCGGAACATGATGTGCAACCAACTCGGTCTTCGCTTTCTGTTCTAGTGCAAACTTTTGTTCGTCTTAAGGCAGAATTGAAATAATTTTTGAATTCTCATATCGAAGGGAAAAAAAACTAAGACATACATGTAAAAAGGGGGCAAGTTTCTAAAGAAACTGTGGTGCTGCGTTGGAGGGAGAGTATAGCAGGTAGTTTAGAGTTAAAACTAAATTGAAAACGTAAATTGCCCACCGTAAAGAGTAAAAAAGCTGACGTTTCGAGCGTTAGCCGTTTCGTCGGAGTGATTGACGAAGGGCTAACGCTCGAAACGTCAGCTTTTTTACGCTTTAAGGTGCCCAATTTACGTTTTCAACTCAGTTGTTGACACTAAATTACCTGTTAAGACAAATATGATCGATTATCATAGCCATTAGTGCTGCAAGCAACCGAGTATTAAGTATTTTTTGCACAACATGAAATATTCGTTTCAAAGACCGTAAAATTCCCCTTGAGAGTTTTTTTTTTCAGTTTTCGTATCGTCAAGAGCGACTTCGCACTCAGCCTCATTTTCGGGCCTTACTTTCGGAAATGGGCCAATGTACAATGTACCTGTTTGTCAGGGCGTGAAGTGCGATTCATGTCACTGAGGCGCGAATTAAAGAATTTTATTTCAATATTCCTTTAGGGTATTAATAACTCATATTTCCCAAGGGTATAACATAGAGTATTGGTTCTGCTCTAGCACGTTACAATCAAAGTCGCCAACAGCTTTCAAGTTAGTTGCGATCTTAAAGAACAAAGGAGAAGGTGGCTGTGAAGAGTAAGACGTTTCTTGCAGGAACATCTTCTCATTTTTAAGAGGGCTACCGTAATTAGAGCTACCGACAATTGCTGTGTTCCTTTTTTTTCTTTTTTTTCGTACAAAAAAAACTGTGATAACGCTAGCTCGTTCAATCCTCGCCGTCGATAAAGCTCATTCCCTTGTAAGTGTGTTTAGTGTATTGAAAGGTCTACTCCAAAAAAGTGTCAAAGTGATAAAATCTCACTCTGACAGGAGCTTGCGATTTATTGCGCTGGACAGTAACAAAGTTTCGTGGATTTGGGCCGAGATTGGTGTGGAATCGTGCTTTAATCGCAAGCGCACCCACCAGACTACAATTATCATGAAAAGAGACATTTCAACAATCTTTATCACACCAACTTTAGCCTTCGAGGCATGCAACTGTCATACTTGAAAGCTAATCGAACAACACATCCGATAAACTTTAGTCGAGACTGGTAATGTGTAGGGTATTAAAGCCTGACCGAAATTGATTTCCGAGCCAAATTGTCTCGCGACATCAATTTCACACTTACGGGAAATTTCATCGACGGGAGAGCTTTATTGTCTTCTTAGAAAACGCGAAAGATACATCACAACTTTCGTTGTCTAAGAGGGATTTCTGCAGTGAATAAGAATAGTCGGCACGGCTTTTTTCTATATATTTTCTTGGATTATTTATCTTTTTCTCAACCTCCGCTTTTAAAAACAAGTTGTGTTTTAGTAATAATTGATGACATTTGAACTTTGAAATTAAAAAAAAAACACCGAAGAAAGCTTGTCCAAAGTAATTACTGGATGGCCACGTTTGATTTCTAGAACTTATGGCATGATTTTGAAGATGCCCATTCCTCATATTTCTAACAACTGATATCTTTCTGCTCTCCGGTCTTGAGATTTATGCATCCAATTTATATTCCAGTTAAAAATAATATATGAGTGGGTGTGTAAGCGGCTGGGTGACGAATTCCAAAAACTGAGAGCGGATTATCTTTAATCCCTTCGAATTACTTGTGGGTACTTTGCGATTGGAATGAGAGTGTTTGCAGTGCTTGTTGTGGCGGCAGGCATTACCGGAACTAATTATAAATTACTCAGGGAAAAATTCTTTATCTTTCAACACTTTAAATGGGATTGCTTAAGTGAGATGGGCAGGATATTGATCCTTTTACATTTGTAATACGTTTTTGACAGTATTTGATGTAGAAAGAAAGATATTATATTTGTTTTTATTCATCCAAGTACAAAATGGACTTGTAATTGAAATCAGAAACCTGAAGCAGTTGAATTCAGTTTTTCTCTTATCAACCCTTTATTCAGTTTTTTAACCTTAGGGCGCGTCTATCGAGTATGAAAT